TACGCACTTCGACCTGCTGTTACAAAGGGAAGCAGTAATCTGCTCTGAAATATGGTAATTTTGCATTTTTAGAAGTTCTAGATTTCATAGCGGAGACGTATTTGACGCTGAAGCGTATGAAAGGTGGGGAAAAAAAGTACATACTAGATATGCGTATCGTGTAAGAGAGGAGTCGCATAGTAGCTCTGTGATTTCGGTGGTGTTCCCTTCCATGCTTAGATTTGGCAGTGTTTCGGTAGTTATAAGCCGATAAATGTTATCAAGGTAAATAGATTGGGCGATTGTTTAGGCGCGACAGTTCAGTCTGAATTTTACATACCTATGCACGAGGAATCAGTTGTAATTTTCGGAAGAAAGTTTTTTGTTTGGCGTGATTTAGTTCATCCCTATGCTGACCTATTTACTGATAGAAGCTGACCCGGTGCTCCTTTCTCCTAGGTTTCGTATGCTACTGCTGCCCGATGGAAATTCCATCAGGATCTTTCTACCAGACCCTAAGTCGCGATCGTCCCTATGTGGTTTTGATTCCGGAAAATGGAACAGGGTCCCGATGCGGGATCTAGTGATAGTGAAGTGAGTGACGGTGACGAGGAGAACTTGCCAACGAAGGGCCTAACAACAAAACTTCCAAGCGATAACAAAACTGAAGGCGGAAAGCCCGCCGGTCAGGTTTTGCCAATGTCAAGAAAGAAACAAAAGTCTCCGCCGCAAGTTTTTGACTGGCGAATGGAAGACCGGTGCTTCGTGGAACCTGCGGAACCCATGTTTACGGCCTCTGATGATCTCAAAAGCCCACTGCAATATTTTCAAGTTTTCATTGATGACAAGCTGCTGACGATTGTTGATGAGAGAAATCTCTATTCTGTACATAAGGCTGGAGCGCATGGGTAAACTTTTGTTACACTGTGTCAGCATGCTTGCGCAAAATACATATTATTCGAACAGAATTGTTGCATCGCCCCTGGAACTAAGAACATTATAAAATCAAACGTGGTATTTGAGCTCTATACATCTTATTTAATTTTACAACAAGAGATGCTTTCATTCAAATTTAGACGTATATCCGTAATGTACGCACACCAGAGGCACCCTGGTGTGCATGTCAGTCCAGATTAGTGTGCTGTGGTGTGCACATTAGAATGGACTAGTGTGACGTAGTGTGCACATCATGCCATTCTAGTGTGCTGTTGTGTGCGCATCAAACCAGCCTAGTGTGTTTTAATGTGCACATTCGACCACACTACGATGGTATGATGGGCACACCAAACCAGCCTAACGTGTTGTAGTGGGCACACTAGAACACGTTAGGCTGGTTTGATGTGCACGCCATAACACACCACGCCAGTCAGATGTTCACACCAGAAAACAATAGGACACTCCAAACCGGCCTGGTGGATTTTTCAATAGGCTGTGTAATCTGCTAGATTAAAGTGTTGTAATCTAACAGTGAATTTCGATTCATTGAAAGATCGCTTGATGTAATGATGCTGACCGAATCGTTTAGGAAAGATTATGATTTCTTCTGGCTAGAGTAATTTCTTTTTTAGTCGCAGTTATAATCGTGGTGATGGCATATCGCTACAGAATCGTGTCTCTGGCTGTGAAATATTTAGTGATGATTCCATCGTGACCCTGTGTTATGGAATACTTTGCGTCAAAAATGAAAGTCCTAGTTACTCAGTTATATATCATCCTCCAAATCTGAATGTCTCGGTGCTACTGCAATGTTTTTAAGCTTTATCTTGTTTCGCCAACAAAGAGAAGTGTCGTTTTTTCCTTTGTGGTGATTTCAATATAAATATGCTCGAGGATTATAGTCTTGAAATTTATTTCTTTGGTTTATTGACTTCAAACATTGTTTTTTTCTTAATGTAACTTCCCTCCAACAAGCATCACATGCTCGACGTCGACAGTTTTTTTCGTGACCAATCATGATGAATATGAGATTAATGCTGGTGAGCTTAGTAATAGAATTTGTGATTACCTTCCTATGATCATATTTATTAATAACAATGTCACAGACAGCATAGTCATTAATGTCACAAGACATAGGCTTTAGGACACTGGAAGCATTTATATAAAAATTTTCACTATAGACTGGAGTCTGATGTTTAATACTACAGATGCTGAATAGTGCAATATTTTTTATAACTACTCTTACAAGAGCTTACTTCACCCCATTCCCAATTAAACGTGTTCGTACCAACAAAAAGTCAAACAATCATTTGAGCAGTAGTCATCATTTGAAACTTCCCCAAAGAAAAACCTTACTTCATAACCCTTTTGGGAAAACAGGAGACAAAAAAAAATTGCGCGAATTAAAAAATGTTTACAAATTTTGTTAACGCCCAGTCAAGACAACCGTAGTAGCTCTATTACGTTCCTAAATTCGACGCATTTGGTTTAAGCCAGCCTGATATAGTGTGGAAGTTTTTAAATTCTCTTCTGCTCAGCCCGTCTCGACACATGTTGTTTAAGGCAGCCTGATATCGTCTGGCAGCTTTTAAATTCTCTTCTGCGCAACCCACTTCAAGATAAAGCCATAGTTAATTTTAAGTTAGACAATGAAATTATTTCCTGTACTGGAATTTGAAATTACATCTATGATAACTTTGTGTGGGTCGGGAATAGTGGTTATAGTAGTAATGCGAAAAGTTATATTTCTCTCACTGGGAAAACAGTATTTGAACACCACGGATACCGCAGAAATATTCTACGTGTTTATAAATTTGAGAAAGAGTCGCAGTCATGATTATGAGGACCTCTTCACCAACCCCATTAGATTCGTACTAGATCTGCTACAACCTTGCGTAACTCATTTGTAGAATCTCATATTACCTCTTTCTGAAAAATGTTTTGTTCGACACACTCGCATTCGGCTTAAGGAGGTATAGGTCCACAGAAATTGCGGCATTGGTAGAGAAAGAAACAATTTAAGAAACTTTCAAGAGCAGGGGATCTTCGTGGCTTTTAGTAAAGCATTCAACCAGATAAACCATAGAACTCCTCTTGATAAGCTAGATTGTTATGGTATTCGAGTAGTTCTACTTTCACTCATTTCGTCCCATAAACAGCATCGTTCCCAGTACGTTCAAATCAAAGATCATATATCTATCACGCATCACATTTCCTCAGGAGCTGCTCAGGGAAGTATTTCACCCCCTTTATTGTTTATCATATACATGAATGATATTAGAAATATTAAACACCCTGAAAAAAAGTTATGTATGCGGTGGACACTAGCATATAGTTTTTTGGTTCTAGAGAAGTACTCACTTTCAAAGCAAACCCCTTTTTAAGCAATTACAATAATGGCTATTTACGAATTGTTCTATTATAAACACATCAAAAATAACTACAGTTTTATTTAAATGTTCGGCGTCACGCATTAAGCTATAGCTCGATTTGTTTTTACGTAACTAACGTTTTAATGCTTTGATGGTATAAGAACTCTAATATGAATTTTTCGAGTTATATGTCTGGGAATAATCATGTTACATATCTGCATAAGACACTTTGTAAAGTTGAAGGGATTATAAATAAGCACAGACACACACACACACGCACAGTAAAAGTTGAGACGAATTTACAATGCATTATTTTTCTCTCTACTTTGTTACTTCCATCTAGTGTGGGGAACGACTACTGATGGTAACATTGTTAAGGTGCATCTCTTACAGGAAAAGGCTCTTAAAATAATCGAAAATGTTCTACGTGATTACCACTGGTTTCCTCATTTTGAAAAAGAGAATAATAGATATATTCGAGATGTTTTTGCATATTTGGTAATTATGAACGATCCGTAAGAAACTATTAACATTCTTCAAGATCTTGCTAATTAAGAAAAAAAATCAGTCATCGCGACAGAAGCCCCTCAGGCGTATTACTCTTCGAGAAAGAATTTTGGACTTTAAAGATATCGTCACCAAATACCCCTTTTATTAAACACTAAGCATTTACGTGATTTGATGTACACTCTGTGAGCAGTCCTACAATTCAAGAAGTTTTGTAATAAGTAAGCGCCATTTTATATTTAATATTTTCTTTTGTATAGCCTATATGTAAGTGTATGCATATGCATATGTGTGTGTATTTTTTCATCGCGTTGATGCCGCTTTTACTTTGTATTGGGAGCAATGAAACCAGTAATGCTGCAGGACTGCAACATTTTTCCGGCGTCCTTGCCCAAAATGTTTTGTTTTGCGGCGAATATAAAACGGTTTGATTGTTTTATGTTATTAGATAACAGCTCCTGTTATATTTATTGAATGAAATATTGCGCAAATTTGGACGATGTATGCTAACACCCTTACATGTAACAGAAAATTTGGCAGTATAATTCCAAATTAGTCACGAAGTTTTATATTGATGATCACGCGAAAGGTTGATTCGCTTGTTTGTCCAATAAGACATTGTTGTTGTAGCCGTTGACAATACGTCCCGTTATAACAAGGTCAGTGTTGTGCCCTTAACTATAAAAAGTACCAGTGTGTTTCCTTTTTCATGATACACTCCTGAAGAAATCGCTGAAATATATAGGGACAAGGTAAAAACAAATTTCAACTTAAATCTTTTACCTGTGAGGGAACGCGAAGAATCACATGAGTATGCTAATGATCATGCTCGTGGTCTAAAAAAAATCATGCACACTTTTTGTAAAAAAAATTAAACCTCACCCTTCGCCAACCTCTCTTTGTAGTATCTAGTGTTCTCCCTACCCATGAAATCTGCAAAGAATTAGATGCGCGGGATTTGATTTGGAGAAACCGTTCCTCTTTTCATCTGGAGTAATAATAAAACGTAAATAACTTAACTTATTTGCATTTAAAAATCTTGATTTTTGTGATATTATCGCATGTTTTCCCAAATGCTCAGTGTTCCATGTTTTCTATATTGATCAAGACAAGCTTAAATGTTTCAAACACGCCTTAAATGGGGCACCTTTATCTCAACTCATATTCTTCATTAAATCTACTGACACGTTTTTACATTCTTTGCAGTCTTTCTGCCGATAGTAACCTGTGCTCCAGCAGGAGACGCCGACGAAGCGGAAAACCGATCTTGTGCGAAAATGGACCAAGAGGCCAAAGAAGTGGGAGTAGGTCGAATTATATAAAACATTGGCAGCGACCTCTATTGCCAGCGTCCTAGAATACCTGAAATGCAGTCTCCATACCCTATCTCACATGCTGGGCCTAGCGTCCCCAAAGGTAGCGGGGCACGAACGTAGCCCAAGCAGCTGGAATGGAGGGGGGGGGGGGGGGAGGAACTACGCTTCTAAACTTACCGTCCTTCCAGCGATCTCACCCCTCAACCTCCCCCCCCCCCCCCCTTCTTCGCTTTCCACCTCTTTCAATTTAAGAGCGCACGCTACTCAAAATTCGTACAAACGGCTTTCCTCCAGCTCGTTGCTCGCCCTCCCGCGGCAGAAAGGGGAAGCGCTCTACTGAGGGTTCCCGGTTCTCCTGCTCAGCTGGCAAGGTTAAACTGCTCGCTATCGAGGCTTGCGAAATGTTATATCCGAATGCAATCAACACTATTCACGGTCCCAATGTAATGCTACAGCCGAAATTCAATTGTACTTTATTAGAGAGTTTTAGTATTGCGTATAGAAGCAAACGCAAGCCCTGTGTGTTTGCGTTAGAGTTGCGTAATCCACGCTGCGCGTGTGCGTCGTCGCCATGTTCCAATCCAAGACAGCATTTTCGGGCTCCACGCACGCGCAGTGTCAAACACGCAACGCTAACGCAAATACACTGTACTTGCGTTCACTCGTATACGGAAAACTAAAACTCACTACCGTTTCACCGTTTTCCAACGCCCATGGAACGTGCTGCAGGGAGCAGACGTGCAAGCGGGTAGGCGTCCTTCTAACTAGAGAGGCATGAGGTTGGCAAGACGACGTCGCGAAAGAATTAGAACTAAATTCTCCGGGATTTTGTTTTCTTTTTTTTTTTTGAGTATGTGTGTGGGGGAGGGTGGGGGGGAGTTTTAGGGCATTTATTTGGTTAGAAAGGGTTGGCGGCGACTTTGGAAGGTTTTTGGATTGTCAAAAGTCGCGACTTTGATGGCGCCATATGGTTGCCCAAAATTAATGTATATAGTTTTACATGGATTTCTCAGATTAGCTAGAATGTATTAATTCATTTTCTGATGTTTATAAATTATAACTTGTTAATGAAAATGCTACTGTTGTGGCACCAGTGATGATAATTTTGACACTTTTAATTGACATAATTGTTTGCGCGTTTTAAATTAGATTATTAGGAACAAATTATGTTAGAGCTTGAAAAACTGTGTATTCAAATATCTCCTTTGTGTTATTGTTATTAATACAAATTGCGGCAATGCAGGCACCAAACAAATGCCACAACCACAAAAATAGCCATTTCCCCATAACATGCTACTCAGTAAGGTCTCATTTCGTTTTATTTTGAGTGTATTATCGTTATCAAGATATATTGCCCCGGGCGCATCTGGTCCAGTATAGGCAGTGCGCCCCTGGCCGAGTGGTTACCGTGCTTGGCTCCCACGCGAAGGGCTGAGGTTCGATGCCTGGCTTCGGGTACATCTTTTTGTTGTTTCAGTAAATGTCGCGTTCTGGCATATTCGAGGTCCCTGTTGTTTATTCGAGCTTAGAATGCTCTACGCGCCAAACTTCCTACGCCGATTATTCCAGAAGCCCAAGCGTTTCCATAATGGGCTCGGCATGGCGAGCCTGAGTCCTTCTCGCCCCAGCGCTCGATCCTAATCTTTGGACGACATTAACCTTCTTCTATCTTGTTTTGGGCACGAGGTCGCCCCATTAAACGTTTAGTTTCTCCAGTTATTATGCGCTTCCTTATTTGTCATTTATGACATATTATAGACAAACAGCGAAACACTAGATGTAATAAAGTCATTCGCGTCAGGCGTTGCTTTTAAATACAACACACGCACACTTCTGCTGTCTGACTCGGATTCCGTCGTTGGGATTTTGTAGTGAGAAGAGTTTTTCCTTATTTATACGTGCTGTCAACACATTCTAAACTAGTCACCAGTGCAATATTTACTAAAATATGGATTGTTTCTGTCGGTCTTATGGCTGGGAATTCAATCATCAAATGATCTCAATACCGCAAAACCCATTACAAATCCCGCAGTTCATTCTTTCACATGACAATTATATGAGCGAGAAAAGAGAGCAAGAAAACGCATATATCAGCACAGATTTTTGTCAACAAATAAAATGTTATATGTTATCTCTAAGGTGTATGAAAGACTGTCTTTAAAGAAACACGGAACTCTCCAAATTATTTTGAATTCTTGGATCAGGCACGTAGGTCATAAAAAATCAGGTTTCCGCAAAGAACTTCTTTAGCTTAGTAATAACCCTATAAGACACACATTGAGCTATGAAATAATCCGATGCTCACACTTATACCAAGCAATTAAATCCAGAATAGAGGTTAGTTTCGGTTTCGTTTTACAATAGAAACGTTCCTCCTGGCGGAAATATTACGCTAAACACCGTCTTTGTTTTTATAATAAAGAGGGGACCTGCGCTCATAACACCCTAATTTGTGTCGCTCACTGAAGCCAGCACGCTAGAAAGACTCAGCAGCTAGTATTGGCGCCTACAGCGAAATCAACGCCGCGTAGCGGCAACGCAAAAAAAAGCTCGGGTGAGGAGATCGTTCCGACTTTATCGTCTGCTCTCGCTGCTTGTTTCTCGTAGACAGCATTGAAACAAACATCGTTTTCAGTAATTATTTTTATCCTTACGCCGTGTCATTCCTACACACTATCTAGAAGAAAGATTCTACCGTCGAAAAATCGCTTTGCTTTTATAGGTAAGACCGATTTTACCCTGCAGTGCAAAAAGGTATACTGGTCCGCGCGCTGAACGAAGAAAGAGCCTTTCGTCCGCTATTTTGCCTAACTAGAGCGGCCCCTATAGTTCGCTGGAGTCGCGAATACCGGCACGCATTTCCGACCCTCATTATAACCGCCATTTTGGAAAACGAGTGGCGCCGCCTATAGTATGCTGGAGTTGCGAATAGCATAGGAGGCTATCGCAGTTCGAGTAACTAGTGAGTCATAATAGTGGGAACGATATATTTTTATAAAGTGTTGTCATTCCTACTAATATATAATTTATTTAACTAACTACGTATTACCCTTAAGGACCTTGAACATTTAATAAATTATGATAATGATCATGATGATTATTCGATGGCCCATTAATCTTGTATCTGAGTACGCAATGTAAGCGTCTGTACCGGCTACCGAACACTGATCGCCTCGAGGCGTTGCCTTCTGCGTGCTCGTGGTTTCCTCTTCTCCCGTCGCCCCTCGAAATTGTACTCCTCCGCTCGGGGTCCGAAGGTCCGAACGACTTCTTTTACGAGAGGAACGCCGGCGCCGCAATTGCTCTCGGCCGCGCAGCTACAGATTTGATTCGTTTAGAAGACGCTAAAATCTCCTTTGAGGAGCAGGAAGAACCTACGAGTATATCTTTAACACGTTTCCGGGCAAACATTGCTGGAAAACTGAATAGGCGTATAGAACACGTTGTGTCGATTCCCGCATTAAATTTAGAGGTGAATCTAAATTGATCTAATGGTCACCTCACGTCAATTTGCTGAGTAAGTGTAGCGGGGTAATAAAATTTGTGTATACGGCAGGCGACAGCAATTTTCCCGCGAGATTTAGGTACAACTTTATTGGTGCATAGGCCACGTAACATCAGTTTCACCTTTAAATTTCGTGGGGATACTGCATTCCCTAGTAAAAAGTCAAGTATGTATAATACATTTCTTGTAACATCTTATATACTCCAGTTTAGTTCGTATGTGTTCTTATATTACGTTATTTGAGCATGCGGGCTTATTGGACTAAGACATTTCTTACACATATAACATTTTTCACTAGAGTTGGCGTGCAGGTCGCAGGACACCAATCTATCCCGATATATTTGGCAGAGAATTTTGAATTGATGGTTAGGTCAAGTGAAGTGACTCACCATGCTAAATAAAGCGGGACAACTGAATTCACATTTACGTAACGTGAATTCAAATTTCGTTCAAATTCAAATTCAATCGACGCACCGTTGCCGCAGTGCGTCGGTGTAGATTTAGTCTTTCCGCGCGTGTCCGAACTTCGCTTGAACTCTGCACGTGCGGAGTACAAAACGGCACAAACCGCCCGTGGCACTTCCGCATGCGTCTTGTGAACTAAAGTTGTGGCGGCTTCACGCATGCGGAGAACGCTTTTTGAAATCCGTCTATTGGCCTCAGTTTCCCCGCTGAATTGCCTCTCCGCACTGAATTGGTTCCAGCTTGCACACATGATGTCAGTTAAACTGACGTCAATTTTCCCTACTAAATTTAACTGAGAAATCCACGGACGGAGCGACAAACCAACGGACCGTCAAAATATCGAGAATAGGGTGTTCATTGAAGACAACGTCACAAGCCAGGCGAATTCGTTGTTATTCGACGTACTAAATCCCGAGACGGAGGCAAAGAAAGGAGAAACACAGTGTCTCCCGCTGTTGGTCCTGCATTTTTTGCCTCCTTCTCTGCCTGGTTTTAGTTCGTCGTGAGGGAGTGCTGTTCGGAACTATTCCACTCTTTGTAAATTAACATTTAAAAGCAGATTAAGAGATTTAGATGTGTGACATTTATTAAAAAAAATTAATTCAAATATTTATTCAAAACATAAAAATAAAAGCGTTCTATTTAGACAAAATCTAAATACCATTTCATGCTCAGGAAAGAGGAAGAGAATGAATATAACCTCCTGAGGCCCAGGACGATTTTACTGCAGCAGATTCTCATTAATCTTTCAAAATACCTTTTACATGGCCTAAGTACCACACTACAGCAGCTTTTACTTCCATTTGAATTGCCGGAATGGCTCAACACAGTGTCCAATGTATTGGACTTTGGGCCTACACATCTTGATTGTTTCAACGAGGCAATCTAGATTAAATAGATACTTGTGTGTAAGGAAGCAAGCATTTGATTTGATCAAGTAAAATAAAGAAGCTTTTATTCATGCGAACTCAAAGATACATAAACATACAGATTATTCTTTCATACTCTGGACATCACAAATGTCGGCACTTAGTTTCTTTACTTCGTGTGAGCTTTCTCGAAGCACTGTCTTTCCTTGGTTATACAAAAGAACAACTTGCACTTGATGCAAAAAAATTTAGTTTTCATGTTACATCCCTCTAGCCTACAACGGGCCGCATTTGCTACATCCGCAAGTCTTGGCAGGTGCTTTAATGTTTTTGATCTAGCTTCGATTGGAGGCAACCTAGCCCGTTTTGCTGCAGGGGACCAATCTGTGTCACTGTCAGTGTCTGAAGGCTCCCTATGGCCTTCTGCGACAAGGGCCTCTCCTACTGACAGGCGAAACTCTAATGATTTGAGTACGTCCTTCTCTCGCCTCTTTTGGGCGCGCATGTCTTGGGTGTACAGAATCCAGGAATTGCTTAAGGCAATGTCAACAAGATGAAAGATACATCGTACAGTCCACTTTTTTACTCGCCCTTTCATCCGATAGTAGCTGATCATTCGATCAGCCATGTCAACCCCTCCCATGTTCGTGTTGTACAAGCGTACAATGTTTGGCCTGGGGACGTCTATGTGCCTCTTCTCTTTAGCTGACCATCTACGGCAGGTAACTTCTGGCTCTTTACCGTGAATTGACGAGAGGAATGTGATTGACTTGTTGTCGTACCAGCGAACTACTATTTGTTTGCTGTCATTCCTCACTTTCATCTCGGATGTTCCTCGCCTTTGGCCTTAAGCTCGTTTTCAGTGGACAGTTTTGCACCCTTCGGGATGCGGTTATTCATTATCGTCCCTGTGCCGGCAATGCCCATCTCCGCAAGCTTATCGAGCAGCGCCCCAGAGATGAAATACCTGTCAAAGAACAGCTTGGTTCCTGGAGTGAGTGTGTCTGTAAGCCTGAGCACAGCTGACTCGCCGATTCCAGAACTGCCTGGATGTAGAGTGGATTTCTTGCCTTGGTATATTTCGAAGTCAAGAATCAAGCCGCTTGGTGTCGCAAGTACAAAATTCTTAAGCCCTTCGGGGTTTGGTTTCCGTGGCACAAACTGCCTCAGCTGTGTTCTTCCGCTAAATGGTATCATTTGCTCATCAATACGTAGATACTCCTCGCGGGGAAGCTTCTGGCAACCTTTCAATACAGACGACACCAGAGGTCTGATCCGCCAAAGCCTGTCTTGTTCTTTGACCTGCACGCTTACTTCCAGGTCATTCACAACTTTTAGTTGAGATCGCAGTTGAAAATATCGATTCCTAGACATCCTGTTCGTAATGGAAGGCACCCTTGTACTATTCTGCCAGTACATCCTGATGTGTGGGTAGCCTAGGCAGGACATGGAAACCGAAATTCCAAAAAATACTTTCAACTCCTCCACAGATGTGTCAAGGCTTTTCCCGGTCTCAGCGACATGTTTCGTGTTCATTGCCAGTGCCATACTTTCGAAAACTTCATCAGTGATGTACTGCTGGAAGTACTCATTGGGAGCCCAGCAAGTCCGTCCTTGCTGGCCGTCAGCGAAAGCAGAGAAATCTGCCATCCAAGACAAAATCGGCCTGCAAAAAAAAAAAAAAAAGAAGAGTAAAATAAGTCCTGCTTTTGGTTCAGATCTCGGAAAAGGCATGTAAGAATGGAAACATGTCCAGTCTTGATCCTTACCCTTGAGCGGCTTCCCATGACGGTATCCGTTTGGCTCTGCACGAGGTGGAAGGTTCTTCATCATCGCTGGCATCATCCTCGTCTGAACTAGGTGCATCAGGTAAAGCTGGTGCAGAAAAAGTGGCGTCTGCCACATCGTCATCACTGTCTGAGAGATCCATGTCCGACGTGTGGCCCCGCGCAATTCTTTCGAGGATTTCGTCAGCTGTTGCGTCACTGATACGCGGTCTGGCCTCTAAGTAAAATAAAACAATATAAAACTGAGTAAAAATAAAAAGCAAGCGGCCTCGCTTCATGAGGCGGCAACACGAAACAAAAAGTCGAACCAACTCGCGTAGCTGGGGTATAGGCCCAACGTCCATTGTATTGGACGTGACAAAGTTTGTGAAGTGTACATTAAAGCAGACGTGCTTGAAGCTCAAATCTACAGTCCTATGTATTCTCTGTACCATTGTGTTTAATACTCAAGCAATAATAGTTCGAAAAACAGGTCAGATATCTCGAAAAACTACTTACGTTTTCGGCCGTCGCCGTAAAACGTGAAGCCGCTGAGCGCTGCCATTTTGAATGAGCTTGGTGGCGCTGCAACATAAACAACTTCGACACTACTCACTAGATGGCGGCACTAGGTGTCCAAAATATGGGACATCGGGTTTCTACGCGCAAAAAAGCAATACTATTGACGTTGTAGCTCAGACTTTGTTGTCCAATATATTGGACAGAGTCTCCATTGCTGGGCCTCAGGAGATAAACAGTTACCATCTCTCCCTTGGCTCCGGGCACATATCTCTAGTTCGATCATCAATAGGCTCTGTTATAAACGACGCGTGCCACCTACATATGTGTCTCCCCAGTGAACTGTGGACGTATTACTTTTTTACGTATTCGTAAATCATAGTCACCTTACATCTCAGTCTCTCGCTGGCAGAGTGTTAGGCCTAAATGACCGTTGCTGCGCGGAAGAGCAGAGCCCCGACTGGCTCTTACTCAAAGGTGAGGTACCAAAATCGTGGTTATCATCCCGTGTGCCCCGTTGTGTCCGGTCTGTGTATGACAATGTGAAGGAGTTCCAAGACCAACCAAAGGCAACCGTAGCAAAGACCACAAAATAAAATACATAACCACCCAAAACATCACCTCAGTTTCACCCAACAGCTCCACTTGAACCACAATGGCCGTTTTTCTTTCGTCTCAACATTACTATTTCATCATAATCATCGCCGTAGGCCTTCGTGGTACGGACGATCGCCTTTCTGTGGCGCAGCAGTTCTCTTGAGCTAGAATAAATATCAATATCAATATAAGTCAATATTCATAAATTAAAAATTTCGAAGTCGTGTTCATGCTGACAATATTGAAAACTATACATTTGCTTATACAAGCGCAACATAGATATTGGTAATATTTTAGATATTTTTCTCTCGTGCAGGACACAGTCGTTAGAAGTTGCAATTACTGGTGCCTCCCAAACAAGACCGACACCTACTACTATGTAAATAAGTACTATCCGGATGGCACGAAATGCCCGGTAAGTTTCAGTGAGTTTAATTAGAGTGCTCAAAACGCGGATCACGTATATTTTATGAATAAGCACGTTGACTGTAAAGAAAGCGAACACCCTTCGATACATACAAAATGGTGAGTGTCAATTATAAAATAATTAAAAAAATATATCATATATATTTTCTCCAATTATTGTGGGCTTAATAAATTCCCCCTCAAAACTCATTATTATCAAATATATTGTCGCCGCTAAAAACAAAATAATCCCTGCAGCTTTAAATTCTTTTCGCACCTCGCAGTACTAAATCCATCGTAGAGGTTGCTTCACACCGGCAGTGCAGCGCCAAGTGCGCACCGTGATCAAAGCAAAATATACTTCTGATTTAGCGCTATAGTTTATCCTATCACTGCCGAGATTTCCGCGTCACAACTTGTGATGCCCGGATGTAGCCCGCCGCAGCGATATCAATTTCAACAGATCTCAGGCTAACTATAAAAGTGCTCCTGGAGGCGAGTTCGATTCCTTCTGTAGTAGTGGTGAGATAACTTCGTTCAAAAAACGAAACAACCTGCGGTATGTATTCAGATAAGCTCAGTCCTTCTACGGTATTTGTTTTGTGCACACCATGAAACAATGCCGGTCTCGGCCGGAAACAAAACCCTAGTATCATATGCACTCGGAAGCGCCTACGGTCAACTCTTCAGCAGCGAAACATGAGACTGATCCACTGAATCAACTCCCATCTGCAAAATCAGTACTGGACTACAGGCGCTTTTTTCAACGTTGATTTACCGCTAGAGTAACACTGCGTTGTATATTTCAGGAGACATTTAATCTTCGCAACACGTGTCTTCTTAGCGGTGCTTTAGATTTTAATCATGTTTCGTGAACATTCATCAGAGGTATTTTGATGCAGTCATTGCTTTTCTTAGTCAAGTCATTCTGTGCGATCTAATATTGTGCCGTAAATGTAGTACCAGCCAGGCGAACGTTAAATTAATTTTAATTTCACGGCAAGCTACATATTAACCCCAATTTGTTACCTAAAGTCTCAATAACGCTTATAAGAGTCATGCTCTAATCGCAGCATGAATGGCAATTACTATTGCAGGCTACATAAATATAAAGATTTTGGGTCAGGGCGATGAGTTTCGATATATTATACTGTAAGTTGTCGGGGTTTTGTTGCCAGACTTCGAATCTGGATGCAAGAATAGCGCTTGAAATTCTGTCCATAATGATGCTTAGAAGAGTGTCGTAGGCGGTTCAGTCATGTCATCACTATACCAGCATCGCATTCAATGTGAATGCACCTTAACTCCCTAGATAATAGATTCCTACAAGTAGCGACATTCTTTGTAGCGCCAACTGCATGACGGTGCAGGTTTTAGAATGCGTATGGCGGCGCAAAGCAGTGGTTTGAACTGAATGCCGTCATTTTGTTCCAGCGGAATGTGCTTTGTCATTTGTGTTGGTTCTAGTTGATTCTAAATGGGTTATCAAGGAACTTTATATGCAGCGACAGCAGGTGTCCGAAATATTGGCGAAGGGCGAAAAACGACCCCCGTTGTTCTATTATACAAACATGTGACGCGTTGATTTTGCCTTGGCCTCTGGAATCAAGTGACAAAGGAGTTAAAAAAAAACAAGAAAAGAAAAAAAGATTGATAAAAGTTACGAAACCCGCGCGGCCTTGTCTTGATATCCATAAATCGTTTGAGCCTCAGATAGCCGTTGCCCTCAATATCGTCACTATAACGTAACGCATCTCATCTTGAATTTAAAGGAGTAATTAACAAACATTATTTAACTATAGCAGCCATTCCCTGAAATACCTTCCAGCTAATGTTTTTCTATCCAACATTCTGGCACAGACCCAATTGGTCTAACTTTAATGGCCTTTTTTGAACATTGATTAAAAAATACAGAAAAACCATGTATATACAACCCCAAAAACCAATATAGCGCTTTTCAAGAATTCATTTTGTTACATTGGTTTTTGTTCCACCTGAAGTTTCAACAATGTCAATTCAAGGTTTACCAGGAATTTACAGTTAAATAAAGTTAAAAGTGATCATGGAAGTGCGGCTATCCGCTATACCCACTGACAGATCAAGGAACGCATATTTCTAATTGGTCATAGAGGAGTTCCCGGTGATTTGGTGTGAAGGTTAATTTCAATATTCGCATAAGTAGCACTTCTTACACTGATTTGCTCTCGCTTGGCGGTTAGCTTTATTATAGTGACTACCAGCTTAAAAAAAACGTTGCATGTCTGCTGGTATCATATTATTGCTCCGCAGTCAAAGAGATTTTGATAATCGCAGATTAGAACGACGAAGACAGACTCGAATTGAAATAAAAGCAAACATAAAACGTGGCCTAGTATGTTCAATATTATTTCATTTCGAGTCCGTCTTCTGCGTTTTAATCTGCGATTATCAAAATCTCGTTGATTTGCGGAGCAATTATGTCTAAACTTTAGAAGCTTAATAATGAGCCTAACGTTGTTTGGTGGATAGGTTATTACTTGAATTCAAGGAAATAGTCCATGGGAATTAATGGAATCCAGTCACCGTATGTAAATGTTACTTCTGGCGTCCCTCAGGGATCGGTGTTAAGAGCCGCTCTCTAGTTTTTAACTTTTATTCACGATATAATTGTAAACGTTTCCTCGAACATAAAATTGTATGCCGATGGCTGTGTTTTATACAGAGACGTCGCTTGCAACACTTACATGTTTTCCCTCCAAAGCGACTTGGATGAGATTAAAGCTTGGTGTTTTAAAAGGAGCATGTTAAATATCTACGAGTTATTTTTTCATCAACTCGAACCTGAAACAAAAATGTTGACTACATCACTGCAAAGGCTAGTCGGTCACTAGGTTTCTTTATACGAAATGTTTGGTTAGCTTCATTAGCGCTAAAAGAAACCTTGTATTTTTCACATGTACGATATATTCTTGATTAAGCGTGTACAATCTGGGACCCCTATAGGCTAAATTTGGAAGATCACACTGAAAAGATTCAGAATCGCGCTGCCAGCTTTGTTACGGGAAATTATGATTTCAGAGTAAGTGTTACTGATCTTAAGTCGTCACTGGGTTGGAGGCCTCTGAGTCAAGGACGTCAATGCCTCGGTTTGAAATTTTAATTTAACATTTTTTCACGAAAATAGTTATATCTTTAAATCAACATATCTCCTACAGCCTGCTTGCGTGTCCCTCAGAAAAAGTAATTCAAAGAAAAATCGTCCATATACACCTAAAACTGCTGCCCATAAGGGCTTTTTTTTCCCGGTCAATTGATGTCTGGAATAAATTACCTAATGAGGTTGCAAAATATCAATGCTAGAGCTTTTTTTGATGAATTCCAGATGTATGTTTTAATCTCATATTGAAGAGTCTCTAAGATATGAATTTTGTTGTGTGTTTTTCGTGCATAATGACGTTTCATATTTGTTATAATTTTTTGATAACGTATAATCTTTTTTGTGTACTGTGAAGCCTTTTTAGGCGTTGTAGGTATTCAAATATACAAATTTGGGAATACATATATCAGAAGTAGCCCTATTTTTCTACTACTTTGACCTCTGGGACGAATTTAAGTGAATATCGTGGGAAGTGTTAAATAACCATTTGTGTATTATTATAGACTAATGGTACGTATTTGTGTATGTACTACGGATATATACTAAACGGGTATGTACTTGAGCTAGTTGGTGACCCATTGCACGGTATAAAAGCGCTAAAAAGACGAGGGACAAGTTGGAAGAAGACGAATATCAGCCAACGCTACTTGCAACTCAAGTTTAATACTAAAGAAAACATATTTGTCTAATATTAATAAAGTTCAGCAGCTAAACGCGCTCTTTTGCGTTCGTCGCCAACTGAAGTTTAATAATGAAAATTTTTATTTCCTATTATTAAAGTTATGTATTCAATAGCGCTCCATTGCGTTGATCGTCCTTTAACTTGCCCATCGTCTCTTTAACGCTTTTACCCCATCCAGTGTGCACCTCATATGACGCCTGTGAAGCCTGCAGTTTTGTTAAAAAAAACAACGGATGTTTATTTTAATTTTATGTTGAATAAGTGGTTGCACTCATCGGCCATTCCGGTACATAGTAAAATATAGTTCCGATTGGTAAACCACTCACCGATGAGTGTTCTGTTTCGGAAGCTATGTGCCCTCTAACTATGGTCACTGAAAACACGGGAAGGGCCGGGCGCGTCTTCCGAATGTCCATCCTCCAGCACCTGCTCGGTGTCTATCGCCGCGCTTCGGCAGCGCGACCAGGCTCGTCGCTCGCGATAGTCCCAAGCGTCGTCGATGGTGGGAAGCAAGCGCTGGAAGCGGCACAACTCATGCTGCTCCCTGCAGTTCTCGTCCTGGCAGTGGCTGTATAGTAAATCACCCGTCAGGGTTTCGGAGAAACAATTGGGTAGCGCCCAAGGGAGCTCGGAACGACTTTTAGAAAAGCAACTCATTGATGACTGAGCTCAGTTCTTCATATCAATGAACTTGCTATTTTTGCTCCCTGCCTCATATTATAGTTTACAGCTTGGTGCAGCACTGTATCATACTGCTTCTTAAGTAGCAACTGTAGTGCCTCAGGCAGAAGGTTTCTTCTATGTCATTATTAGTTTCGTCGAAATCTGAAGCTAGACCAGTATGGATAAAAATAAAAAGTAATCCCCCCCCCCCCCCCCCCCCGTTAAAGAAAACCTATGCGGTTTCGAGCCTTCTTATGCTCGTGTTTTTGAAGATACACTAAAATAAAGAGTGAGAATTTTAAAGGGCATACTGCACGTATCGAAAAAAAAGTCAAGGAAAAAGTTTCTTTCCTCCATAATTACTCCGCCAGACGCAATGTAGGTGGGGAATGTGAATGTAACGGCCCGCTAAGCCCCGCCCAGTATTTACGACGTGTTTACAACTCTCAACAACTGCAGAAATGATCGATGTGTCATATTTTCGCCGTAAAATTGCTTCTTAGTACCGTAGTAGTATTTTGTTTGACATATATTTATGTTTGAAAAACAAACAATCAGGATATTTTTTTATTTTTTTCGCAAATATTGCGAGATCGCCTCTTCCGCTTCCGCTCAACTAATATACACAGATTAGTAGTGACCAGGCGCCCCCCCCTCCCCCCCCCCCCCCCATTCTACGAGCTCTACCAACGTAAAAGCACACCTTATGATCTCAGAGATCAAAATTATATGGCACCAAAATCTCGAACTAATTATACGGTTTGCAAAGCTTAGCCACATCCAGTTGCTCAATTTTTAAACAAGTATTT